ACAATGTCCATTGTCGTAAACTTCTTTACAATAATTGTTAATATCATTGACTGCTACATATCTTTTTGAGATGAACTGATAATGCTACCAAATTGGATAGCGAAACGTTTATAAAAATATAATAAAATACTTGTATAAGGTGAAAGGAAACCGTATATACGTATTTCTGACTATCTGTAACCCTCTTTGTAAGTAAATATGCTCGTTTTCTAACTTGGCTGCACCGTACTGAAGACGATCAATACTCAGAAATACGTATATACGGTTACCTTCCACCTTATACACATATTTTATTATATCTTTTTCTTTTGTTGCGAGCTATGCCAATACCTTTTACCTTTATTTTACTATCACCTCGTATTAACCTTTTTCATGTTGTTTGAAACGTTCTAAACGTTTGGCATTCCTTTTCTTAGGTAGCTTAGCTTCCTCCGTGGATGTGTTAGTTGTTGCTCTTAAAACCTCAGAGTCTTCTAACATTATTGCCCCAAATTGGTAGCAATGCTCCTGTAGTGATCCTTTCCCAAGTTAATATGCTCTTTGTCTAACTTGGCTGCACCGTACTGAAGACGACTAATAATCAGAAATACGTATATACGGTTGCCTTCCACGTTATATACATATATTATATTTTTTCCTTTGTTGCAAGCTATTTCGATACATTTTACCTTTATTTTACTATCACCTCGCATATCTATTCTTATTGTTATCCACGTCAAATGGGCTTACTCATTTATATCATGTCAAATGGGCTGCTGACTGTCGATGTAATGATCATGGTTTCTTTGGTCATGATCACGTACTTATGACTTTGGTAGTCGTCGCATCTCTTTACATATTCCTTAACATTCCTCCCTAATCGGTTCAATAAATAGAATTTTTTTATATTTTCATACATTCTATTTATTCTTCCTCTAGCCAACATATGAAAATCATTAATTATAATTCTCCTTAACTTCCAATCTGCTATGTTCAATTTGTCTCATTTTTCATTATTAATATTTCCGTTACGTTTTTCTGTGCGCACATTTTTACAAAGTCTTCCAGCGACGCTCGCAGTGCAGACGCTGATTGAGACTCTTGATATTTCGAGGCTCTCAACGACGGTTGTAATGTTGACGTTGATCGAGATTCTCGAATTAAATAAATTATATTATCATCTTCATTATATACTATATTGTTTTCTGTATGCTGCTATATTGACTCTTAAGTAAATTCATTTCCCCGTATTCATTACTATCTGTTAATCGCACTTCTATAGTATATTTCGAAAATTTTAACAGTTCGACTTCCAGTTGATTGGTCCTTTCGTCCTTCTGTATCTCTTTCTGTCTTTTAGCTTGTGCTCTTAATGACATTAATATACTCTGATGTGATTTCAATCCATGATAAGGCATCTGCCATAATATGTTGAGCTCCTTTCACGTATCTAATTGTTATCTACTTGTGAAGTTATCTTCTTCCAGTTTTAGTATAATTTTGTTTAATCTGCTAGAAGGGTTTGTCTTTCGAAAAACGTATACTAATGAGCAATGGTCTCCCAGGATAATAAATTATTTTTCTAGTAAATAATGTCTTCATCTGAAGATACACCATACTATATCTGCAGGTTGGTGATTACTATTTGAAAACGTTGCTCCTAATGTTGTTCCTGAAGCATCCATCCTTGAAATAAATTCATCATGGGGAGTTGTTAAAGATTTCTTAAGCTTATCAAATCTTGACATTCAAACTTTACATATTTCCTAGATAATCTATTAAGCGGTACGGCTATCTATCTCCGCGAAATGGTTTACAGGCTTCCTATAATAATTTGCAAATGCTACAAATCACTTTGCTTTTTGCATTCTATGGTATCGGATACTGTTCCAATGCTATTATTTTTACTGTATCTGGTGTTTTCTTTTTATTCGAGATGTTATATACTAAGTATATGCGTTCTTTTTTACTCCTTTGCTAAACCTTACTCAGTTTTTCTAGTACCTTTACTAGGTTTTGGTTATGTTATTGTAAATTATTGGAAAATACTAACAAGTTGTCAAGATAGATGAACATGTTTTCAAAATTTACGCGTGACATTACCATTGTCATTGCTCGTGACAAACATCCCGGGCTTTTCTTCAGTTCCATAGGAAGTTATGTCATTTGATATTAACCTCCATCCGTTTATAGAATAATATGGATCGATTATATTACGAAGGAAATAGTGTTGCACAAAATGGGAAGAGACAGAGAACTTTTGACCACTATTAAAAAAAGAAAAACATCATATCTGAGGTAATTTATACTAGGAAATGAAAAATATGAGTTAGTTTCAGCTAATTATAAAGAGTAAAATCGAAGGAAAAGAGGTTACTGGTAGACGACAAATATTCTGGTTGAAAAATATTCGCGACTGGATTGGGTTACACACATAGATAGATCTGCTTTTTAGAAAAAGCAAAAGATAGAGACAAAGGCTATAGCAGGATAAGATGGTCAAAAGTGCCCCCGCACCGATCAGCAGCGCGATCTGTGCTTTCGATAAAGTGTATAAAAACATGACTTCATACAAATTTTCAGCTTTCCAGAGGCCACGGAACCGCTCAAATCTAAAAAAGAAGCTTTTTTCGACTTTATTTTTTTCTGGACGCAATTTTGCTTTAAAAAATCTGAAAAAAATTCATGAAGGTGTATCTTTTGAATACAAAAAGCCTGATTTTTTTCAAATTTTTATATTGAAAATTGAGCCTAGGAAAAATTATTGAAATTTTCAATAATTTTTTAGGTTATGTTAATAATTTTTGGCTAACTTTTAAATGGTAATTTTTTGTGTATTTTTTTTTTGTTCTTTTGAATGGTCAAGGCAAAAGTTTCAAATTCTGAACGGAAAGCATCGAAAAATAAAAAAAACCGTTTTTTTACTCATTTATTTGCACATAACCTTAAAACTCAGTTGTTAATTGAACATTTTTTCTTTCCACATTATCAAATTCTATTCTATAAGTCCCCATTTAACTCTTTCAAAAGGATAAAATTCGAAAATGCCACGTTTTTTATCCATTTCGCACTTTTTTACCTTAACTCAAAATCAGATATTAGTATAAGGTAAGCACAATTTAACTTTCACAAATCAACCTCTGACGATATCGCACTGTGATAATTTGAGTTCGAGAATATCGCAAGTATCGCAACTGATGGTGGATGCATACGCGCGCCTATGCGATAACTTTAATATACCTGATTCTTTCGATACTTTTCCATGTGATTGATAGTTTTCAAGATCTTTGATAATACTGTAACGGATTTTAGAAGAAGAGGATTAGATGATAATAAGGCTAAGACAGTCAAAACGATACGAAGGCGACACCAAGGCGAAAGCAGTAACGACAGAAACAATGTCTGCAACGCGCATACTCCCATTGTCGTTGTCATGGTTACAGATCATGCGCGTAGCAGACATTGTTGATTTTGCCACATAGCCACTGCTTTCGCTTAGTGTCGCCTTCGACTCACCGTTGCCTTCGTATCGCTTTGACTGTGTTAGCCCATAGAGTACGATATGGATACGCGTGCCTATAGGATATATGGTAGTTATAATATTCAACTCTAAACTTCGATTTGACCAACTACTTTGAGAATTTTAATACGACTCGAGATTTTCGATATTAACTCGCAACGGATATGCGATTAAAAACGATAAATACAATTGTTGAGGAAGGGTCAATCTTAAAGTTAATGTTTTTTTTTTCGAGTTTTGACTATATAAGAAAAAAAAAGACAAGTGTTATAATAAAACTGAAGGGTACCCGGTACACTCAAAAATACACGGAAATTCGATCATTTATCTACTACATTTTAAGGTTATGAGCCAATAAAGTGGGAAAATATTATAAATACATGATTTATTCGCATTTTAAGAATTTGTAAGTTAAAAATGATTATTTTAATAATGATGATTCATAGCCCGTAAGAGAATAGATGGAAAAGCATACATCTAATTATCTGATTTTGAGTTAAGGTAAAAAAGTGCGAAATGGATAAAAAACGTGGTATTTTCGAATTTTATCCTTTTGAAAGAGTTAAATTAAGACTTATACAATAGAATTTGATAATGTGGAAAGAAAAAATGTTTAAAAATGTTCAATTAACAACTGAGTTTTAAGGTTATGTGCAAATAAATGAGTAAAAAAAACGGTTTTTTTTTATTTTTCGATGCTTTCCGCTCAGAATTTGAAAATTTTGCCTTGGTTATTCAAAAGAACAAAAAAATACACAAAAAATTACTATTTAAAAGTTAGCCAAAAATTATTAACATAACCTAAAAAATTATTAAAAATTTCAATAATTTTTCCTAGGCTCAATTTTCAATATAAAAATTTGAAAAAAATCAGGCTATTTTGTATTTAAAAGATACACATTCATGAATTTTTTCAGATTTTTTAAAGCAAAATTGCGTCCAGAAAAAAATAAAGTCGAAAAAAGCTTCTTTTTTAGATTTAAGAGGTTCCGTGGCCTCTGGAAAGCTAAAAATTTGTATGAAGTCATGTTTTTATACACTTTATCGAAAGCACAGATCGCGCTGCTGATCGGTGCGGGGGCACTTTTGACCATCTTATCCCGCTATAGCCTTTGCAATTGTTATTGTGGATTTAGACGACATCTAGCCATCACCTAACTAGACAAGGAAAATGTGAAATGACTAGTGTCCAATAGCACAAAACAGAGAAAATTGGAGAACTCATGGAGAGGCTTAATCCAGGAAAGGATAAAAAAAGGCTGAAAAGAAAGAAGATGTCAGATATGATTTTGATATAAAGTAGATGTGCTGTTTCTTGCAGAGAATACCTTGGTACAACATTTTATCAAATGATGTGAATTGAGATTTTTTAGAAAATACCCACTCTTCGTTCGATATATCCAAATCTCGTATATTTCTAAATCATATATAATTTCATATATTTCTAAATCTTAACAACTTTAAAAATCTTTTAGATGCTATTGTATATTTAGATACTTACTTGATTGTTTGGTTGTTCCGGTTTTACTGATAATTGATTTTGAAGTTCTTCATTTGTTTTTAACTCTGCGTTGCGATTTAATACCTATAACAATATTTTTTATCGGTCAACAAACAGTTTTATGCGTAAAGAAAATGATATTAAAAGGTAATTTTAATGTTGTTTTGGAATTTTTTTAAAAGAATACAAATTAAATTATCAAAAGTTATTTAAATCTTTTACAAAAGATTTATCGCTATTTTATAACATATCTGTACAGACTGTTTGACGGTCAATGGTCACTTATTCGTGGTCTCAATTAATAAATAGCGGTTGGAAAGACAGCAACATAAATAGTTATTTCATTACTAAAGAGTTTTTCTTTTAAGGACATCCGAACTTCAAAGCTAGGAAATCGAATTTTTGTTGATTCAGTAACCTTTGAGGTTAGCAAAATAACGGTTTCCATTTAAGCCAAGAATAGCACGCGTTCTCTTTGAAATAAGTATAATAAATTCACTGGTTTAATTTACTTATTACATTCCCTCATAAGTAATGAGGGAGTATAAGAAGTATAGAAAGCTTAATAGGATTGACTTTGCTTGAAAATTTTTAGAATAAACCAAAATTAACATTAAGAGATAAAATTAAGAATATAAAAGTTAAATTAAACTATAATATAACATAGTATAAATATAAAGCCAAAGAAAGACAATCGATGCTATGTAAAGGAAAGTATAAAATTGTTTTATCAACAAGACTGAAAAAACCTTGCAAGTAAGATGATATAGTTGAATGTTTATTAAAGATAGCATAAATGCAATAGTAACATCAGAACTGAGTAAATATGTGACCAATTTCGTACCAGTGTCGGATAGAATAATATTACTCCAAATAAATACTCAAACATTTAAAACTAACACTCCAAATCTATGCCCCGACTGCAGATAGAAAATATGACGATGAAGTCGAGAAGTTGTATGATCAGATCCAAGACATCTTACAGAAACTTAATAAACACGAAATTTTATATATTATAGGCAAGAAACTTCAATGTAAAAATTGGGGAAGGTCGACGAGGTCAGACTGTAGGTCCTTATGATTTAGGACAACCTAACAATCGAGGACAGAGATTGTATGAATTTTGTAAAGAAAACGATATGATCATTATAAACACCTGGTATAAACAACCCAGGCGACGACTATACACTTGGAAAGCCCCATTTAATGATGGCAATAACCGTGAGTTTTCAACAAATTAAATAGACTATATACTTGTAAATGAGCGTTTCCGAAATGCCGTCAAAAAAGTCACTACATATCCCTAAAACATAACATTAAAAAAGAATTTAACAATAGAATAAAAAACATCGGAGAACAGCTAGAAGATCCACAAGAACTATGGAGTGAATTTAAAAACCAAGTTAACGAAATCTCCACAAACACTGATTATAGAAAAAACTTAATCAAGAAAAATAAATGGATGACAGACGACATCTTGAAATTAATGGAATAAAGTCGACTAATAAAATCTAATGTAACAGAATATAGACACTTGCAGGGAAGAATAAAAAAGGAGATCAAATTAGCCAAAGAAAAATGGATGAGAGAAAGGTGTGACGAAATGGAGGATATAATATTTAAATACGACTTATTTGATGTGCACAAGAAACTAAAAGAAATGGGTAATAAAAAATGAGTTTCCTCTGTACTTGTTGACAATAATAACAAAATTATTCTAAATTAGCATAGAATAAGAATAAGAAAAGAATGGCAGCTGTATATATCAGAGTTGTTTGAAGATGACAGGTATAATATTGCCGAATTCTACCAAAACTGTTCTGACGGCACAGAAATTATGAAATGAGAAGTACTAGAACACGCTATAAATAATGTTAAAATTAGAAAAGCTTGTGGTCCAGATGATACTAGTTGCTGAAACTAATAGAGAATAATAACATAAAAGTAGTAGTAAGACTTTTTAATTCAATATATTTGTGTGTGTGTGTGTGTGTGTGTGTGTGTGTGTGTGTGTGTGTGTGTGTGTTTTGGCTTGGACAATTGTCATTCAGCCAGTCTCAATCAAGATAAGTTTATTAATGTAGTGTGTGTGTCTGTGTGTGTGTGTGTGTGTGTGTGTGTGTGTGTGTGTGTGTGTGTGTGTGTGTGTGTGTGTGTTTGTGTGTGTAGAGTAATTGTCTTGATACTTAGCAAAGTCGACGTCATTGTCTTTGCTAAGAGATGCTAATTGTATCCGAACGTCTGCGGTCCCTCCGGTGTGTACCGATCACACAAGGATAGAAATTATTTTCATTTATTAATTTTTTTAATAAACGAAAATTTCCACCCAGGTGGGATTCGAACTCACGACCTTTAGGTTTAAAGGCAGGCGCTCTTACCACTGAGCCACAGAGGGGGTAATTCAATGTATAACACCGGAGTGATTCCCGCAGATTGTCTCAAATCCATCTTTGTCGCAATACCTAAAAAACACAATGCAAGAAAATGCTTAGAATATCGATTAATTAGCCTAATGAGCCACACTCTTAAAATTTTCCTCAGAATACTTCACAACAGAATTAGACGCAAATGCGAAGAAAATCTTGAAGATACCCAATTTGGTTTTAGAAATGCTATGGGAACCAGGGAGGCACTTTTTGCGCTTAACATCCTATTACAAAAATGCCGTGACTAAAGAAACGATGTATATGCATATTTCGTGGACTTCGAAAAGGCTTTCGATAAAGTGCAGCATGTAAAATAATTCAGTATTTGCCGTACTAATAAAGTACAGCAAATACTGAAAAGTATCGGAATAGATGACAACGATATTCGTGTCAATAAAAATTTGTGTTGGAAACAAACGGCTATCGTAAAAATAAGAGATAACTACACCGATGAAATCTTCATACAACGAGGAGTCAGAGAAGATTGCATTTTGTCGCCAACATTGTTCAATGTTTACTCGGGTCAGTTATCTAAAAAGGCACTTGACAGACAACCATATGGAATAAAAATCAACGGGGAACTACTTCTATCAGATAATATTGAAGGTCTTCAAATTCTGCTTGATTGTATTCACGAGGTAGAAGAGGAAATGGGCATTAAAATAAACTCAAACAAAACCAAATTTTTAGTGTTTAGTCGTGACCCACATCCCGATGCAAAGATTCAATTGAACGTAGTCCAAGTTGAAAAAGTTCACAAAATGACATATTTGGGAACTATGATAACGGACCAACTAAATTCAGACATAGAAACAAAACGTAGAATAGCAATGACTAAAACTACTTTTATAAAAATAAAGTCATTCTTTTGCAATAACCATCTCAGTTTAGAACTAAGGCAAAGAATGGTTAAGTGCTATGTTTAGTCCGTACTTTTGTATAGTGTAGAAGTGTGGACGCTAAAAGTATCGATCATGAACAAAATTGAAGCATTTAAAATGTGGGTTCATAGAAGAATACTGGAGATACCTTGGACAGCAAGAAAAACTAATGAAGAAGTACTAAGGAGCGCCAAGAAGGATAGAGAATTGCTAAAGACTGTTAAACATCGAAAAATGTCTTATCTAGGACATATAGTAAGGGGGAAGTTGTTATAAAATATTACAACTGATCCTTAAAGGCAAAATAGAGGGCCGTAGAGGTGTAGAAAGAAAACAAGTTTCCTGGTTAAAAAACATTCGTGAATGGACTCAGATACCAAATGCAGGACATTTATTTCATGTTGCAGAAGATCGAGAAGCCTTCGCAATGGTGATCGCCAACGTTGGATAATTCTGATATGGCACGCGAAGAAGATAAATGCAATATAAATAGAGCAATGGAAAACATATTTTATAAGAACTCCTACCAGTTAAATAAAAAATCCAAATATAACTGTTCATTAAGATTTAGTAACAAAAGATGAATGGAAATAAATATAGTTTTCTAAAGAATGGTAGGGTATGGTAACCTGAAGGAGCACATAAAGAATTCATTAAATATGCAAGTGACGAATATGCATAAACAAGAAAAAATCACTAAAAGTGGGTTTTTTACCGGCAATATTTAAAAAAGATTATAGAAAAAAATATGATAACTACCAAGATCATCATTTCAGTTATTAATACCACAAGGAGTACATAAGAAAACATCCTAAAAACTAAAATAAAAACGAATACCAAATCAGCGAAGCATACATGCAAGCGGAATTCAAACGAACAAGCGTCTCTATTTAAAAAAAATCATATGGTGACACAAATACTATGATTCGGCTAGAAAAACATATTAATAACAGCTTTACCCATCCCCAAAAAAACCTAAACAATGATGTAGTCTATTTACTACTACTAAGGATTTCCACAGTTTTCACTGTCTTCCTTCACTCAACTGTTTTCTCCAATTTTCCCTGTCATTCCAGTCTCCATCTCGCAGGGTTCTTTTCTCCACAGTCTCATCGATTTTGTCTCTGAATGACCCTCGGGGTCTTCCTCTCTTTCTTCTTCCGATCGTGTTCCATTCTGTGATTTTGTTTATCCAGCATCCTCGGCCCGCTCTTCCGACGTGGCCGTACCAGGATAGTCTCTTCTCCTCCATATAGTCGATTATGTCTGATTGCACTCCCATTCTCCGCTTAATATCTGCGTTTTCAATTCTGTCTCTTTTTGTAAGTCTACAGCTTCTCCTCAGGAACTCCATTTCTACTGCTCTTATTCTACCTCTATTTCTCTTGTTTATTGTCCAGTTTTCGGACCCATATGTCAGGATACTTCTTGTCATGATATTATATATTCTCTTTTTGTCTTTATAATAATAATTTCTCATAATTTGACTCTAGGTATTGAGTCGTATGCTTTCTTTAGAAGAAATGTTAGATGTAGTCTATCGCCAACACTATTTAAAATATTCTTAAAACAAATATTTAACCTTTTGTCCGCACGTTGCGGACTATGAATCTGCTTTTCGAATTATTTGTCGATTGCTGACCATTAATTACGATCTCGGATGTGGCCTGCTCGCTAGCTTTAAGCAAGGCGACAGTTTATTCGGTACAGTTGTCATAGTTGTCTAGTGCATTTAGGAATCACTAACAGGAGAATTTTACTGTCATCATGTCATGTG